GGCGTTATCGGCTGTGGCTGCGGGCCAGGGGGCGACACGGTCTGCGCACAGGCGTCAGTGTGGGGCGGGAGCGAGAGTGGGTGGGCATGGCCCTCGCTGCTGGCGCCGTGGCGAGGGGTACACGGGGGCAGGGCGGCTGGAGGCAGAGTGAGGCCTCGTTCTGGCCATGTCTGGTTTGGGTGTAGGGTTGCCGTGGAGCAGTGGGTGTCGGAGCCTGGGGCGCCCCGGGGAAGGGAACTGAGAGCCCCTGAGGCCCCGAGCTGCAGCTGCAAGAGAACTCTGCGCAGAAATGTTTGGGGGCACCCACGGCCACTGTGCCCAGCCCAGGGCCTCTCACAGGGTGAGCCGGCTGCTGCGGGCCTGGCCTGGATACCAGAAGGACGGTAGTGCGTGGCCAGCGGAGGGTACTGGGGACCCGAGAGAGGGGCTCGAGTCCTGGAGACCTCCCACGACATCCCGAGGCAGCGTGAGCCATTGACTGCTGGGCAGAGCCTGTCCTCTGGCGGGTGGATGTCCGTGGGCGAGGCTGTGGGGCAGGCAGGCGCCGTGGCGGGAGGTCCGCCGCTTCTGCGTGGGGAGGCTTGTGGACATGTGCTTTGTGTGTGTGTGTGCAAGTATGAACACGCACGTGAACCTGTGCTTGTGTGCATTATGTGTGCGTGCAGGTGTGAACATGTGTGTGTATGCACCTGTGCATGTGTGCTGCCTGTGTAAGTGGACATGCTCATGTGTACATATGTGCCCTCGTGTGCATTTCAGCCCCCTCTGCAGCCCCCTGGTCCTCCTGACTGCCCTCCTCCTGAGCGGTGTGGGAACTGGGAAGCTGGTGTCTCCCGGGGAGGCTGAAACCTGCACTCTGGCCCCCATTTGTTTGGTCATCAGCTGGACACAGCCGCCACAGGGGCCAGAGGCTGGGCGGCACCGGGTACTTACGTCTGCCAGGCACCCCGTGGCCACCCAGGCCCTTCCGTGTGTCTGTCCTGTGTCCAGCTGGGGTGGGGGTGGGACACTGAGCCCTGGTGACTCCGGCTCCACCCTATGTCTGTGGCCTGTCCCCTCAGACCCAGGCCCCAGTCAGCCTTGTGCTCCTGGACGTGAGGAGGGGGCGGGGCAGAGCAGTCTGGGTGTCCAGCAGGTCCCTTGCCCGGGCGGTCCTGACTTCCGTCTCGTTGCTTCCAGTGTTGCCTCCAAGGGCCTTGGACTCCAGCGGCGAGAGCGGCTGCCCCACTGGCACGCTGCAAATGCAGGTTCCCGGGCTCCTCGGGGCGCACCAGCTCCAGGCTGCACAGCTGGCCCCAGGCCTGGGGCTCTGAGCATCGTCTGCATAGCAGCTGCCCCAGCAGCCCAGAAGGCTTGGTGCTGACCCCGTCGCATCCTGGTGAGGATGCCCGTCCTGGCTGGGGGGCTACTCGCCGCCCTCACGGTGGCGTTCGGAACGGCAGTGGCATTCGCCCCCAAACCTCGGATCACCTGGGAGCACAGAGGTGAGCCCTCAAGACTGCCCGGGATTGGGCCGCTGGGACAGGTGGAGACCCACTGCTCTGGACACTGGGTGGTAGGTGGGTAGCATGGGCGGGGACCCCACTGCCTTGGGGGTTGGGTAGGTGGGACGGGGCGGAGACCCCACTGTCCTGGATTCTAGGCGAGTGTGATGGGTGGGACCCCGCTGCCCTGGGTGTGGGGTGGCTGGGGACAGGCAGGGACCCCGCTGCCCAGGATTCGGGGAAATGGGGTGGGCAGGGACCACTGCCCTGGGTGTGCGGTGGGTGGCGATAGGCGGGGGCACTGCGGCCTAGGATGTGGGATGCTGGGGTGGCTGGGAAGAGCAGAGCCCCACTGCTTGGAATGCCAGGTGGCAGCTGAGGACGCCGGCCTTGCTCTGTGGATTCTCTCCCTTGACTCGTCTGGGCAGACAGGCCCCTGGGCTGCTCCGGAGAGAGGCCGTGATGACTCGGCAGAGCCCGTGCGGGCCTCCTGATGCCGTCCGAGTTTGGGTCCCTGAGGAGCGCTCAGCGCCCTCATACCTGGGGACATCTGGGCGCTGCCCAAAATCGGGCCCTTGCAGGGCACCTGCCCAGGCCTCAGGAGATCGGTGACGACGTGACGAGGATGCCAGTCACACGTGCAGCTGAGCCTGTCGCCAGCTGTGTCCACTTGTTCTTTCATGGTTTTGTTGTGTTCTCTGCGGAAACGTGTCTGGGGACCCCGGCCCTCCCGCCTTGATGGCCGAGAGCTTGACGCTGAGTCCTGGGTGAGGGTTGCCTGCGGGGAGGGTGGGAGCTGCTGGGCGAGAGGCAGGCAGGGTCCCCAGAGGGCCTGCCAAGCCGCCGTCCTCCCAGCCAGGAAGTTAGAGGAGCAGAAAGCGTGAACCTGACTCTTAGGCAGAGCGGACATTGGGTGACAGGTGGGAGGCCACGCTCAGAGCTCAGCGGGACGCCGTGAGACACAGCAGCTTCCTGAACAGGGATGTGGCTGCGCTTATACTGCTCCCCAGCAGCTGTCCGTCAAGGCCTTGTGTCCCAGCGGCATGATCAGTCACCTAAGAAGCAAAACCGTCACCTGCTTTTTAGTTCTGTAAGGCTGGGGGGTGGGAGGAACCTGAAAATTACACAGGTTGACAGATTCGTTTCCAGAACTGATTTTTTTTTTAAGGCCTTGAAGTAAGGCCTTTTTTTTCTGAACAAGAAACTCCTAAGTTGTTACACTCTTTCTGCAGTGAGCCTGTGGATAACTGAGCATGCAGACATGAGTGGGACGGGCAACGGTGGGAGCAGGCTCAGGCCTCGAGGGACTGGGCTCTGGCTTCCAGCCAGCATGCCAGCTTGGGCCCGGGGTGAGGGGTCCACGTGACTCGCTGGCCACACCACGCGTGTGCTTCGGGGGACCTGGGCCTGCCGTCAGCTGGGCTGATGCTGTCATGGCTGCGAGTGGGTCTGCGGCGCACCGCCCTTGAGACTCACGGCACCAAGACGCACCAGGAACGCACGTCAGGCTCAGAACGTGCCCCTTGAACCGCCCCCACTGTCCCTTGTGTCCTGCAGAGGTGCAGCTGCTGCGGTTTCACGAGCCGGGCATTTATAACTACTCGGCCTTGCTGCTGAGCGAGGACCAGGGCACCCTGTACATCGGCGCGCGGGAGGCCGTCTTTGCAGTGAACGCGCTCAACGTCTCCGAGAAGCAGCATGAGGTGGGTCCAGGCCGCTCCTGCGTGTTTCAGGGGCCGGCGGGCATCCCTCCTGGTCCCGGGGCAGGGCTGGGTCACCAGAATCTGCCTCCTGCGTCCTCGGCCACGCAGCCCCATCGGGGATGTCCCTGGCTCTCACCCAGGGACCCCCCTCTGCGTCTTTTATTTGGGACTTTTCATCGTGGAACCATCTCCACGTTGCCCACGAGCAGCACCCTTGGTGCCACGATCCCTGTCCTGGCTGCGGCTACGGAAGGCCAGGCTCTCAGCCCCACCCTGCGCCCTCTGCCCCCAGGGACGTTGAGGCAAGTCCCGGCACCACGTCCCTTGTCTGCGTGTCCCTGGACGGAAAGGACTCCTCATTGTCCCTGTAACCCAAAAGAGCTTCCACGAAACATCACGTCGTCCATGTATTCAGCGTTCAGATTTCACTGACTCTCCCATGAGTGATGTTTATCTTGTTGTTTTGAACATTTAATTTGAATCAGATTGAAACCAGGTTGTTGCCTGGGTGCGGTGGCTCAATGCTTATGATCCCAGCGCTTTGGGAGACTGAGGCAGAGGGATCAGTTAAGGCCAAGAGTTTGAGACCAGCCTGAGCGACATAGCAAGATCCCGTCGCTACAAGAAAATAAATAGATAAAGATTGCCGGGGCCTGATGGTGCACACTTGTAGTCCCAGCTACTCCAGGAAGACTGAGGCAGGAAGATCGCTGGAGCCAGGAGGTCGAAACAACCCTAGACAACATAGCAAGACCCCATCTCTACAAAAAATAAAAACTCAGCCAGGCATAGTAGCATGTGTCTGTAGTCCGCACTTCTCAGGAGCCTGAGACAGGAGGATTGCTTGAGCCCCGGAGTTTGAGCCTGCAGTGTGCTGTGATCGGTCCACCGCACTCCAGTCTGGGCAACAGAGACGGAAAGAAAAAATCAGGCCATCCCCATCTGTTGCAGCCGCTTGCTCTGTCTGTCCAGTCTCTGTTTCTGTGAGCCAGACTCAGTTTACTTCCTGGAAAACCATAGCCAGCCCCACGTCCCAGCACTGACAGACCTCTGCAGCCCTGGACCATTGAAGTGTAGACCCACCTCTCATCCGGGACTGCGGGCGCCCTCCACAGATGCCCCCTCCTCTCCACTTGTTTGCTGGGAGTCCGTAAGGGGACGAGCCCATCGCCAGCTGCTTGGGGTGGGAGGCAGGACAGAGGCTTGAAATCTGCCTTTCTACAGTTTTTAGAGGTCAGATCTTGCTCACCCAGGCTGGAGTCAGTGGTGCAATCATAGCTCACCGCAGCTTCAACCTCCTGGGCTCAGGTGATCCTCCTGCCTCAGCGTCCTGATAGCTGGGACTACAAGTGCGCACCACCATACCTGGCTAGTGTTTTTTGTTTTTTGTTTTTGAGTTGGAGTCTCACTCTGTCGCCCAGACTGGAGTGTAGTGGCCGCTCC